TGAACCCCTCTGTCTCTCTCAGTGTGTGGGGTTGTGTATGAACCCCTCTGTCTCTCTCAGTGTGTGGGGGTGTGTGTGAACCCCTCTGTCTCTCTCAGTGTGTGGGGGTGTGTATGAACCCCTCTGTCTCTCTCAGTGTGTGGGGTTGTGTATGAACCCCTCTGTCTCTCTCAGTGTGTGGGGTGTGTATGAACCCCTCTGTCTCTCTCAGTGTGGGGGGGTGTGTATGAACCCCTCTGTCTCTCTCAGTGTGGGGGTGTGTGTGAACCCCTCTGTCTCTCTCAGTGGGGGGGTGTGTATGAACCCCTCTGTCTCTCTCAGTGTGTGGGGGTGTGTGTGTGAACCCCTCTGTCTCTCTCAGTGTGGGGGTGTGTGTGAACCCCTCTCTGTCTCTATGTTACTCGCACCCTGAGCGCAGAGGGGTGGAGGTGAGGGGGAGACCTGGTCGATAGAAGATATCGTGTCTCGTACCTGCAGCCGGCCGTCCAGCGTCCTCTGGATGGTCACACACTTGCTGGGGTGAACCCCGTTGGTGGTGATGGCAGTGATGAGCGAGTCCAGCTCGTCCTTCTTCTCCTTCAGCTTCTTGACCAGGCTCTCGATGGCGCGCTTGGCGAAGCCCTCGTTCTCGCCGCCCTGCCGGTGGCACATGAGGCTGTGCACGATGCTGAGGCAGGCGTCGCTGCTGCTGGGGGCGCTCACCGACATCCTGCTGCAGAGAGAGAGGGGCTCATACAGACGCGCTGCGCACACCCACAGCACCAGGGCCGCTCTAGAGCCGCAGGACCCCACGGGGCTGCTCTAGAGCCGCAGGACCCCACGGGGCTGCTCTAGAGCCGCAGGACCCCACAGGGCCGCAGGACCCCACGGGGCCGCTCTAGAGGCGCAGGACCCCACGGGGCCGCTCTAGAGGCGCAGGACCCCACGGGGCTGCTCTAGAGCCGCAGGACCCCACGGCGCAGCTCTAGAGCCGCAGGAACCCACAGGGCCGCAGGACCCCACAGGGCCGCTCTAGAGGCGCAGGACCCCACAGGGCCCCTCTAGAGGCGCAGGACCCCACAGGGCCGCTCTAGAGGCGCAGGACCCCACAGGGCCGCTCTAGAGGCGCAGGACCCCACAGGGCCGCTCTAGAGCCGCAGGACCCCACAGGGCCGCTCTAGAGGCGCAGG